GATTGAAAGGTTATTCATGTATGTTGTGTGTATGTGTGTATATGTAATTTGTCTGTATATATACATGCATATATATGTATACATGTATATATGTATGAATAAATGTCTATATGTATAAATATCAGAAATGTTGGATAAGACACTGATAACACTGCCTCTGGTGGGGAGGACTGAGTATTTGGTGAGTGAGAAAAAGAGTAAAGGGAAAGTTAACCATTCTTAACCTTTGAATTTTGAAACACTAGGATGTGTTACCTGTTTTTAAAACATATCAAATTTAAATTTAAGGTGAATTGCAAAAAATTGGTTGACTTGTCATTGCCCAGCCTTGGAAATATGGTATGTGATATGCCTGATACATATTTATAGTTTCCTCACTCCACATACATTGCGCTTTGTTCTATCCCTCTGAAGACTGAAGCAAACATATAGTGCAATGTCCTAGTTGTCAATCTGGACCCCTGTGCCCTGGCTTTTTTCACTATTCATCGTTAAGATTAAGGAATTAGAATAATAATCTCATATAAAGAGAAGCAAGATACTGCTTGTATGTTACTCAGGAACCTTTGAATTCTCAGAGCTATGTTTTAGAATTTATAGCTATGAATTTGGAGTAGTTTTTACTTCTAAAACCTCCCATTACATATCAGGAATCAGTGTGGGACCACTCTGACCTTTACTCTGATCTTTGCTAACAGCCTCAGATCATGAGAATTCAGGAACAACAGGAAGTGTCCATCAGAAAGGAACTTTGTGGAGAGAAAAGAAGTGACAAGAAGAAAAAATAGCAATCATATGTCTCTTGCCTCAAATCAAATTGAAATTAGATTGAAGTCTTACATGGCAGTGGTTATTAAATATGGCCAAATAAGTTCTTGGGAAATTGAAAAGCATCAGGATTAGTTTTTCCACATTCATAAACACTGCAAAAGTACCAGGACTAACATGGGACAGTTCAAGCTGAGACAGAAATTGGTGATTACATCCACTATCACTTCTCTTACCTCCATCTACTATCCAATTTAAAGGCCTGGATAATGAAAAATATAAAATGCTAGAAATAAATTTATATCTTGATAATTGGTCTTTGTGAAATGCAAATATTTATTGAGGAGGATTGCATGACACAGTTATTTAGAATATTTATTTGTGATTATAACCTGAACCATCAAAAAGCCTTTCCTTCAGTCAAAATCATCCCATATCCAGATATATAAGAACAAATAACAATAGAATTGTGAAGTTGAAACTAATGGAGATCTTGCCTGGGATGTTTAAAAAAAAAGATGATTTAATAAACCAGAAGAACTAGTTTGGGCTATTCCACTGCCAGGAGAATGGGGGAGGAAGAAAATATACAAGTAAAATGGAAGAAGGGAAAGGGTCTTTAGGAAAAGTTCTGGGGAAAGAGCATTTGCAGAATAATTGGTCCAAATACTTTGTCCTTTACCGCTTCCCTCCTTTTTTAGAACAGTAGCGGTGAGGCACTTGACCATCTACTCTTTTTTGAACTGTGGTTCTTAGCAATAATAAAACAGAAACCATAGATATGTCCAGTATGGTGGCAGATGCGATAAGGACAGCAGAAACAAAGTAGTATAATACTGTTGGAGGAGTTAAAGAACACAGAAACAAATAAATCTGTATGAATAAGCCCAAAACAAACGTAAAAGATTTTTAATTTAGATCTTTTTGTCACTTGTCACGTTTTCTGTATAAATATCTTTTACATTTGTGAAACGTGACAAGTGACAAAAAGATCTAAACAATTGTGCCTACATAGAAGAATTATAGAGATGCCACGCCTTGCAAATTTAATCCGTAAAGGTAACACAACTTCAATCAAAACACAAGGAGCTAGATGAGTGCTGGTGGCTCATAGCTATAATTCTAGCAATTTGGGAGGCTGAGAGTGGGAGGAACACAGTTCAAGGCCAGCCCAGGCAAACAGTTCATGAGATCCCATCTCCAAAAATTATCAGAGCAAAATGGACTGGAGGTATGGCTCAAGCGATAGAGCACTTGCTTTGCAAGTGTGAAACCCTGAGTTCAAACTCCAGTCCCACCCCTCCAAAATAAACCACAATGAATGGATTCTGCAACACATTAAGAAAAATTAGTATAATTAATTATGTATTTAGAGGAAAATTAAGGTAGGAAATATACCTCAACCTATATGTACAGTCACACACACACCACTAGCAGGTTAAGAAAGAAACTACACAAAAGATAATAGCATATTTTTTGAAAATATGCAAATGTTATTCTGATAACCTTGGGAGAGGGCTGGCAGAGTGGCTCAAGCAGTATGAGCACCTGCCTAGCAAGCACAAGACCTTGAGTTCAAATCCAAGTACCAACAAAAAAAAATAAAACAAAGATAACCTTGGGATAAGACTGTCCTACCATAGAAAAAAAGCAGGAAAGAAAAACAATTATATCGAAATACATTTTAAGATATATTGTTAAATTTCTCAAGTAACCAAATGTAGTACCAACACAAAATTGAGAGATAGAGTAAAAGAAAACATTTGTGACATATGTATTCAACGAGTGACAATAATATTCAACTGTGGCAATGACTACCAGTAAGGCTATACACACAAAAGGACCTTGGAAATGCCCTGTACACACATAGTAATTTGGCAGAGGAAAGAAACCAGGGGCCCAGTTTCCCATGGTGCTAAACTCTGCACAGTGAGGGTTCTTAAGCTTAATAGGAATATGACTTGAAAAGGTCATTAGGGCAGAGATCATCCACAAGCACCAAAGAAACCCTCACCACCAACATGCCAGACAAGCATGGGTGGGCTTGACTAATATTTGCCATGAGAAAACACAGAAAGACTGTCATGAGTTTGTAGCAGACAAGTAAGTTCAGGACTCCTGAAGGCTGGGGGCGCCAGTGCTCTTGCTAGTGCTGAGAGCCTGTCAGTCCCTTGATGAGGCCCTGGGGATGTGGTGCTCATTGCGCCTCTATATAGCTCACACCCAGGCAGAAGTCACAGGGAACTGGGCTCCTACCTGGCATCCCCACAACCAGCCAAGGGACAAAGCACAGATGAGAGTGCTGCACATCCACACAGGCAGTGTTACCTTTCAAAAGGGCACTGCCAACAAATGGACAGGTGGCTTTTGACTTGGCCCTAGACCTTGCAGTGGAGATGCTTTGATGCCAGCAGGCTTCACTGTGACTGAGTTGCTCAGTGGATGGGCGGGAAGCTTCTGAGGCCCTCCCTGAGTTAGGAGTCAGCTGTGGTCTTAAAGGGCCAAGTACCCAGGAGATGCTGGACCACTGTATGCCAAGGGGAATTTGGAATTCTGTAGTGTGCAGGGGAGGAGGGAGGCACATGCTAATTGGGCCATAAGCTAGGAGCAAGGAGAGCAGTCTCACTTCTGTGCTGAGATTAAAGAGGCTGAGCAATGAGGTGTCACTGAAGACGTTGCACATTGGCAAGTCAGGCTGGACTGGAAAGAGAGGACGGGGGAGCTGTCTTCAGGGAAATTCTCCTTGAAAAACAGATCACTCAGCCAAACAGCCGCTTGCCTGGGAGAAAGAGCAATTCCATTAGCAGTGTTGGGAAACGAGACTAAGCCATGCAGGCAGCTCAGGAAGCTCCAGAGGTGTGAGCCATGATGGGGATGTGGTGTGGCAGAGACCACAGGTCTCTGAATATCCCAGCATGAGGGAAGTGATAGCATCCACATTCCAGGTTAGAGGAATTCCCAAGGGTTTCTTAGGGTCCTGGCAGGAGCCCAAGCCCACTGGACAGCATGGAGCACACAGTACAAGCAGGAGAGCTGTCACGCACCTGGAACCCAAACTCTGGGAGAAAGGAGAAGAAATGAATAGAAAGCTGTGTTCTGTGTGTGAGAGACCAGGCAGAAGGCAGAGCACTGTGCAGACAGATCACTGCTTGCCCAGGCTTGGTGGCCCTCAGAGGCCTCACAGGAGGAACCACAGGAGAGGGCACCTGGCATAAAAGCAGCACCGCCCAAAGGAAGCAGAGGTGTGTGAGGTTTTGCCTTGGCTTTGAGGAAGGAGAGTGCTGCTTGACACGCAGCAAACATGCAGGGGACCTGGCTTTGGCGAGGACAGGCTAGGGCTCCTTGGGAGAAGTCCGGAAATGTAGGGGAGGGGGATATGGCAGAATAAGATGGCCGTCCCATGGATCAATGGTTTAGCACACAGGGGTATGCCCTTCCTTGTGGAGGTACTGGGATCTGAGAGGTAGGGCCTAGATGTGTCCCCGGATAGACTGGCTGAGGCTGGTCTTGGAAACACTCTCCACATCTGTCATACAATCCCCGTGGAGAGTTAATGGAAGGTAGGAAAGAGAGGAGTCTCCCCCAAATGAAGGAGCTGCCAAGCCTCTCACTCTGCCAGGAAGCAGTGCTTAGGATCCCAAGGAAGGGAGAAGCACTGGAAGTGGGTTTAACAGCAGTTTGACAGGAGAGAGAAAACTGCATAAAGGAGGGGCTGTGCCAGTGGCAATCTTTCTTGTGATAACGACATATTAGCTGTTTGTGGATGCAAGACAGACCCCACCCCCGCACACACTCGGTGCCCACCCCCACCCCAGCCACCCAGGATTGAGCAGATGAATGCCAAGAACACTGACCTTTCTCCCCAGGCTGCCAGTCAAGGACAAACCTTCCCAAGGGATTCCTCTGCACCACTCATTGCGTTGCTGGCTCCAAGCATGTCCTCTCTCCCAGTTCTCAAGGTTCCATCTTAATTCCACCAACCTCTCTGTCCCCCACTGCCTGTCATCCCTGCCCCCTACCTCTTCTTTTGAAGCTTCTCCTCAGCACAGTGGCCCCTTTCTGTCCCTGCCTCCAGTGAACCCTGATAAGCGCTTCTGTCAGGGAGCAGGCTCCCAGTCAGCTGGCGTTTCTGGTACATTTCTGCCTTTCTCTTTGCACAGACTGTAAACTCAAGGACAAGGACCATGTCTCTTTTTTGCCAATCAAAGCACACAAGTTTATTGGTGGTACACACAGGTGCAGACTTGGGTGGAGGAGGTCAAATCGGTACAATGGACAGAAGGGGAGTGCGCTTTTTTGATGAATAAGTTCACCATCCATCAGCTGCTGTGGAAGAAGGAGGAAAGGGTAAATACTTCAACCTAAGCAGCGGCAAATGCATCTTCGGCACAAGCTCCCATGTGGGTCTAGTGTCTGCCAAGTGGTCCCACTTAGACAGGGAGGCCACCACGGGCAACAACAGCCCTGTTGGTGCTGTGGCTTGGTGTCCACTATCTGCAGCTGGCAGCCACAGTGAGCCCTTTTACAGCAGGAAGAAGGCTGCAAGGGAGTAATTTACAATGCACATTGCCTGCAGACTGCCAAACCAAGAAGTTACCCAAAGCTCTGTAGGAGCCCCTGCCTGGCCAATGAGAGTGAGGCCTTCTACTGAGGGACTGGAACTTTTGCCCAAGGACTTGGTGACCGGCTAAGACTGGATCTTTACCAGCACCTACTGCAGCATTCCTTGACATCTGTAACCAAACGGGATTTGGGTGGATTTTGTGCCATTCTGGTCCAGACAGCCACTTAAGGGGCGAGGGTTTCCAGGAGAATCTGTCTGTTTCCACTTCTGATAAAGAGGGACATGAATGAGAACAGCATTTGGGCCCCCAGCAATTTCCCTGCCAAGGCTGATTTTTCAGACAAACCCATCAGTGGTTCTAAAACCTGAACCTTAGCACATCCACTTCCCTCGGCTATCAAAGGAAACTTCAAGTCTGAAACGGACTTGGCAAGCATGTTATTAATAACTGTCATGCTTATTAACAAATCTAATCCGGCCTGCTGCAGAAATGAGTTGCAGCAATGTGACACAGTCTCCCGACACACTTCATCGATGTACATCTTAATCTGGCCCTGATTTTCAATACTGGCATTCAGGTTTTTCGGTGCACACCAAGCCTTCTCCCTAACAGAGGCATGGGGTGTGATGACCGTGGTTCCTACATTCGAGAGGCTGGCCATGTGACTATTGACAGTGTGGCCAAGTGAAAAATCAGTATCTTTGGGCTCATCACACAACATTTTTCCCTGAATGGAAGGACACTTGGAGAGGTCAAGAACACAATTCAAATTTTTAAAGCTTTGAGCACTCCATGTATTTTTGTGTTCATAGGGGAATGGCCGCTGTTTTATTGGATGTGCTCTGTTGGCCTTGCCACCCCCTGAGGGCCTGTCCTCAGTGCCACCTGGGGCCCCAGGTTCATTCCAATCCCCATCCTCACTCCAGGGCCGAGCCATAGTTGTGAAATCAAACCAAATCTCAGGTTCTTCCTCATCCAGCTCCTGGTCACCATCCCATTCATCTTCCTCCTCCTCCTCCAACTTGTCATTGTCATCTCTTCCTATGGTCAGTTTGTAAACACAGTAGCAAGCACCAGCCCCAATCATCAGTCCTGCAGCCATCCAACCCACTTCCCTGGCCCGGCCCATGCTTTTGTCCCTGATGGCCTCAGGCCGGAGAGTAGAGGGTCTGTCTCCACCTGATTGAAGAGGGCTGTTAGTGCCAGGATGAGTAATGGTGCAGGGTAGTAATCTTCAGCCTCTCCCTGGCTTTTGAAGCTCTCCTGAGGAATCTAAGGGTGAGAAAGTGTATTAGGACTTTGAACTGCTGCCTGGGTTTCTACCTCACTAGGCAGATTGGAGTTTGAGTTTTTGTTGAGAAAGCTGGATTATCTTTTCTGTCTTCTCATTTCTACCATCAGGATCCACCTTTTCTCTTCCGGGACCCTCAGAGAAAAGCAAGAGATGGAACTGCGCTGTGATAACCAGGAGAGTGACAAGGAGATCTGACCCTTGGGCAGCCTCCTCCTTCACCACACACATCTCTTCCCCCACACAAAAAAATTCACAAGCAGGTACTCTAACTAACCTCTACCAAAGTCTGGTGAATTCCTTCTTCCTTTATCTTCTGCTGTCAGAGTTCCCTCCACAGTGCTAGATGGACAGAGTCTGGCAGAAGGACAAATGAAAAGACAGGTAGGGAGCAATGCAGAACTGAATGTGTAGTTGGATGGCTCTAACTACACTTATCATACAGATGCCAATATCCACTTTTCTAAATTTTAGGCTTTTAAATTTAAATATTTCTCACACCCTACTTTCCTCAAGCGGGCTTTCCCCGCCCACCTCATCATCCGCCATTTCCCCAGCAAAGGCCGCCACACCCCTTTCCCTGCACTGAAGTGGGAGGGGGTGTGGAGAAAGAAGGGGCCAGGAGAGGGCGACTGGGACCCAGCCCGCACAGATCCCAGTCCCCGTCCTCTGCCGCCCCCACCCACGGTCCCGGGCTAACCCACCTTGGACCCTCCTCAGTACTGTTCCAATCAAGGCAGTTTGCTCCTTCTCGCCAAGACTTGCGCTGCGATCTGCAAACGTACAAGGGACCGAGGGGACGCAGTGCTTGGTGGATGGACCAGCACCCGAACACGGTGCCCGGATTGTGGAATCTTTCTTTTCTTGCATTCTTTGTAACGTTATTCACTCCCCCTACCCCCATCCAAAGTCTGCCACTTGGGTGTGGGGTTGGGAGAGGTATTTAAAAAGTAGGCGAGAATGGCACACAGCCCCATCAGCCGAACTTGGACCCGCGACACTCTTGGCCCTCTCCCATCCCGTCCTCCTTCCAAGCTGTGCCCATCGCCGCACTGACCTGCACAGTCCGAGGCTAGTTTCCTTCTTCCTTCACACGCCTGCAGAGTAATAGGGGGCTAGTACCCAGACGGAGGCGACTAGCAGGACTTCTGCTCCAGGAGGCTCTTGGTCACATGACGGCCACGTCACCAGTGAGCTCTGGCCCCCAATTTCCACTCCCACTAGCAGTGCGGCAGGCGCCAGCCAGCCCTGTACCCCCACCCCCATCACTCTGGGCCCTGTCAGTCTTTTCTTCTATAACAGTACCAGAAACTAGAAGTGACAATGCCTCTCTGGTGTTTGAATTTGACATTCTCTAATTACAGGAGGGGGCAGCATCTTTTTCTAGGTCTATCCTGCGTTTACACTTTCTTCTTGGGGAATTGTCTTATTCTCTCCTTTGGTCTGAAACTCCTGCATCCTTTTCCTACCCCTCTCCATGTACCATGGCTGCACTAAAATTGGGGGAGGGTTGCAGCAAAAGAAGCCCAGGCAGTAGTGAGATTTTACATACTGTTTCATCCCTTCTTTTTTGATTGACCCAAGCTACACTGTTTTGCAATTATAGAATATAATAACGCTATTTCTAATATTATTTTAAAATGTATGTAAATAATCAAGATTTTCCAGTTAATGGGTGGACTCATTGCTTTGGCAAAGTTAATTTGTACCACGTTGAAAAGATTTTCTTCTAAATAGCAGCTTTAACTTTAAAAAAATCTACCTGTGTGTTTTTCATAAAGGAAAACTATGTTATGTTTTTTACTTAAGAATAAAGTTTTCTGAAGGGAAAAAAATAGCAGTTTTAAAGCAGCATATTAATGTTTAAAAATATATCCTTCCAAACAAAAACACTTTGCTTTCAATATGATTTATAAACTCATGGGTAAGTGAGTCTGATCAGTGTTCTAGTCGCGACCACTTTAGATGAGCAAACCACTACCCCTTTTTTCCTCCTGGCTGAACTCATAGTATTAGGTGTCAGATAACTGAAATCTTGTAGAAGGCTGCTGGATGGCTTTCACTCTCACTTCAACAAACGGACTTTATGCAGACTCCAGCTTCAGATGAATTTTACAATTTTAGAAGAACCTTACAAATTAGCCTGCTTTTCATTCAAAAGGCTTTATTTAAAATATGTTCTGAAGTTTCATGATGCAATGCATAAATCACTCCAAAATTATGGAATTCCTTGTTATCCCTTTGGTAAACATGAGACTTAATTGAAGGATTTTTCATTCCATCATGACACTGGTGAGATCGCTCTGATTTCTGCCTTTCATATACTATCTGTCATCATAGAGGTGGCAAATATTCAGCATTTTCCAGTGGAGATGAGGGTCTATGGATGACTGAATTGCTGAAACACCCCTGGAGTCAGTGTCATTTCTCCTCACAGATAGAAAGACAAAGCACTAACCAGGAAAAAGGCCTTTTTACTTCCCGCCTTCCTTTATAAATTCTTGGCACTACCCAAAAAAGCCCCTCAGAATAATCCCAGAACTCAGGGATGAAATAGGCAGAAGTTTGTCCCTAGACACCCACCTGTCTCTGCTGAGGAGTCATATTCTAAATATAGACCCTCCAGGCAGCCTCTTTCTTCCAATGTTGAAATATGACACCCTAGCTGGAGGCCTTCCCTGTGAGGGGCCCCTGTGTGGAGGAGGCCCTTTCAGGAGGTGAGCCAGGGAGCCCATAATTCCTTGCTGGTAAATATCAGAAGCTGAGAACATGTCACATCTTTGTGGTCTTCCTAAACTTTTATAGTCCAAACTCATTCATCAGTATTACATCCCACATTTCTATATCTGTACCTTATTTGTTTTGCCATCATCCTCTTACACTGTTCGTTTCCTGATCCTTTATTTACTTCTCTTAGACAAATGAATTTTATTTCTGAAGACTTATGAACAGAACACTCACATTTAACTGCTCTTCATTTAGGTTTTGGCTGCTAAGTATTTATATAAGTGACTCTTGTTTGTGTTAAATACATACATCAGAAAGAACTAAGAAATATGTAAAGCCTAACAAAGACAGATGCCTTAGTGGTTCTTCAATTCAGACTCATTTTCCAGACACTTAGGTTACAAGGACAAAAACCTCACTCCTACCTCGCCTCACTAGTACAAAATGTCTCCTTCTTTTGTATATCCTCCAATTATTCCAATGTGTAACTCAGAACAACCAGACCACCATTCTCCCAGTGAGCCAGACCTTTCCTGGTTTGAATCCACTTTCTCTCTAAAACTTTCCTAATCCCCATGGGCATGATCCTTGCAGCTCTTTTACTTCTTTATCACATTGATCCACAGTTCCTATCAAGGAAACAGGAGACTAAAATTTAAAATACTACTTTGCTTTCCGTTATACATCCAATAGCAAATATTTATTTAAGGACATGTTGTTATATGTCTGAAATACCATCTTAAAAGTGAAAAGGAAAAATGTTTGAGCAAGTCTTCAGACAAACCTGTTAAAAGTTCCTGGGCCTGCAAACACTTCTGTGAAGTCATTGCCAAAAGAAACTTTTTGGCTTAAATTAGTATGTGGCTACATGTGATATGTAACTTATAAAGTATCTGAAAACAAAAAAGGATCAGTGGATGGTGACACTAATGGAATTGTGGAGGGTGAAAAAATTATAGAAAGCTTGTATCTTGACAAGCTATATAAATTTTTGCATTGTATCTATGTTTTTTTTTTTGCATTGTGTCAATTTGTTTTTTTTGTATTGTGTTTTAGTTAAGGTTGTCTGACTCCAAGCAATGGAGCCATGTCTAGTTACCACAAGGAGGGAATGCTGAAGACCAGGGTCATCTGGGAGGGGTCTAGGCAGGAAGAATCTATAAATGATATTTTCAGGATATCATAAGCCCACTGATTTCAGGTTTTTATCTCTGCTCTGGATTCAACTTTTAGTAAGAGAGCTTTTGGTTAGTCTGTTTTGGGCACAATGTTCACTCTTTTGCTAGGAACACATAGGGTAAGTAAAATGTACTTCCTTTCTTTTTCCCAGAGTGAAATGTAAATTGTTTCAGACATTGTTGATTTATAGGAACTCATTAGTTATTTTGTATATTAGTCCCTTGTCAAGCTCTGACTAAGGTTCTAGGGACCTGTCTGCTGCAGTATGTCTTATGTGTAATTTCCACATTAACTGAAAGTTAGAAAGTACACTTATGAAATGGCAGTAAGGTTGTTCTTTGAGCCAAGGCCACCTGGCTTCCCTGACAGGATTCCACAAGGTTGCATCTATAGTTCTTGTGTCTTGTCCTCAGTGTTGCATGATCTACTCCTGAGTTTGTTTGTACACTAGGAGCAGATGCCTCTGTCAAGAAAAGACTCTCATTCATAGAGACAGACAAATCTACATCTGAATGCTCAAACCCAAGGGTCTCTACATTCCCTCCCTGCCATGTAGGAAGCTAAGATTTAATGGGAGAGACAACTGAATAATTTATCTTGAGAAATACAATTGTCAGGGGGTACTAGAGGTTTCTGTCAGTATTACCTGCTCATTCTCTCCTTGTGGACAAGCTACTACTTGGGAAGCCACAACCTCAGAAAGTTGCTCAGTGAACCTGCAATCAAAGCAAGAACATTCATTCTAAGAAGTGGCTTTCCCATGAGAAAGCTTGAAGTACTCTTACACATTCTTGGGATGATTCTGCCAAGGAAAGCTAAGTGTTCCCTTCATCACAGTCAACATTCCCTCTCCTCCAGACAGTGCTTGGGTGGGCACTACTAACACTTTCCTGTGACTCTCCTTTTCTTACATATTCCTATGCTTGAAGAAGTCCCCTTGCTGTATGATTTTTCACTAAATCATTTCTCAGTACTGCCTCCCAGAAGTTACACTGATATAAATTTTCCTGAAGGTCTGCCTGTTCCCAAACTCCTCAGTCTCTTGGTTTCCTCTCATGTTATCTGTGGATTTTAAAAGTTGTACTCAGATAGCAATCTTATTTCCAAACTATTAGGAAATATTTCACTGAAGAGCTCATGATTTAGAAAGCTTTATTATCTTTTGCAAATGTGTTATTTGTTTTTGTACTGTGTATTAGTTAAGGTTGTTTGGTTGCAAGCAACTGAAACTAAACCTAGTTAACTTAAACAATGAGAGAATGTGATTATTTTATTCCTTTTCCTATTTAAAAAATAGTTAAATTACAGTGGATTATTGAGCTCACCAAACCTATCAGTGAAATAGTTTCACACTAATTGCTAGATGCCAAGTTCAGTCAAGTTTGTCTTGATCTCCATGTTCCTCTAATATCTATTTCATTTACAGATGATAGTCTCTATTTGTACTCAAGTATATTCTGTAATGTTCTTTTTATATCAGTCACTTTATCAGAATGCATTCATTTTTATCTTACAGATACTGACTATGGAGATGTGCTTTCTACTCAATCTCTTCTGTTACTATCTTCTGAGAACTCAAAGCCTCCTCCTTGCTAGCTTAATTCCGGTGAGAGAGTTTGTTGCTCTCCTATTCAAAAGATTGGCCTAGTCAGAAGATTTACATACTCTTAGACACTGTGATTAGCTCACTCAGCTTTGTGTTAGGTGCTAGGCTCCAGACGACATTAAGATTGCTTTGAGTGAAGTGGATAACACTTTCCACCAAGTGAGAAATGTGGGACTTTTAGAAGCCACCACCCAACACTGCTCTCCCATCTCCACTCTTTTTTCTACAATGAAAATAGCTTTATGGTATTTTCTCCTCATGAACAGAATGCAGGCCGGAGGTGGGGATGGACAGAAAAAAAAATAACAAGAGTATTAAGAAAGTAAAAACCACACGCTCATTCCGGGTTTCCTTTTCTGACTGCTCGTTCGTTTCAGATCTAGGACTAGATTTCAGAGGAAACGGTAGACATAATAGGTGGGAGGAGGGGAGGTAGAGGGAAAGGCTGCTGTCCCAGAAGCCTAGGGAAGGAAGAGCCAAGTTTTCAAAAAAGTGCAGTGGTCAGTAGCCCCGAGGGAAGATGCTGCCCGGTTCCAGTAATTGGAGGAAGGGAAACACAACTACAGGGCGATGGGATTAGCGAAGAAGAAAGAGTAACAAGGCCTAGTAAGGGGGAGGGAGGGAATAGAGGGAGGCGGGCCCTTTTCTGCCGCACTGCTGGTGGGAGGGGAAATTGGGGATCCGAGTTGGTGGATGACGTAGCTCTCACGTGACCAAGAGCTGACGTGTGCAGAAGTCCTTCTTGTCCTGGTCGTTGTTCCCGTCTGAGTACCAGCTCCCTGTTGCCCTAAGGGCGGGCGGGCCTGCAGCAGAGGGAAGAAAGAGGAGGAAAAGGAAATTGTCCCGGATCCTTGCAGGTCAGTGCCTGGGAGATTCCATAAAGTGGGGGTGGTGGAGGGTGTAGGGCGGAGACCGTCGCAGGTCCTGAGGCGCCTCAGTCGTCTCTCCCACTCGCCGCCCGCTTTCCAAGACATATGTCCCGCCCGCAGACCATTTCGATGCTGCGAAACGGTGAGCAGGGGGTGTTTGGGCAGAAGCCCAGAAATCGGGAGATGGAAATCTGCTGTGAGTTGAGGCCCGCAATCCGGAAAGGGAGTTGTGGCCTGGGTGTTGGCCCCCAGTTCACTAGGACAGTGCGGGTGGGGAAGGACTGGACATGGGGGCATTGGTGGTGGGATGCAACGTGATGTGTTGGTAGAACCCAGAGAGGGGTAACAGGGTGGGAAACCGTTGACAACCAGGCCTCTGAATTAGGAAAGAGTTTCGTTCTCTGGGGACGGGTCCGTCCACCAAGCACTCAGTAGCGGCTGTTTCCCGTCTTTCTGCCGGTGGCTGTGTCTTCCTGACCGTGGCTCTGTGTCTAGTGGGTCCAAGCCTCTCCTGGGTGGTCAGTCTTTCCGTAGGTTGCGGAACAACGCCAGGCAAAAGAAGAGGAAGCAAATTAACCCAGATCGGTGAAGGTCGATTTGAGGGTAAGCCCATCTGACGACCCCAGCTAAGAGGGGCGGGGAAGGAGGTGGGGGAAAACCAGAGACAGTAATCTAGGTTCAGGTCTGAGTCTGAATGTGTTTCTGGCAGTACCCGGACTGTGGCGAAATGGCGTGCGCTGTGTGTGTGTGTGTGTGTGTGTGTGTGTTTGTGCGCGCGCGTGTGTGTGTGTGTGTGCGTGTGCGTGTCTGTTTGTGCGCGCAAGGGGGGAGGGGGGAATGACAGCAGGAAAACCTATCAGATACTTTGTTCATAATCCTCCTCTCTCAACAGCACTTAGTCCCCATGTTTTCGATCTGTCATCCTGCAGGTCTGTTGTAGCAGGTGGCACCACTTGAAACGAAGGAGGAAGTTTCCAGGGATCAGTAGAGGTCGGTGTGGATGTGGGGGCTGCCTGGAATGGGGGAGGGGTTAGAAATCGGTCTTGGTTTGGACAGGCTCACCCAATCTTATTTTTTTTATATCCTCCCATTTGAGGATGGGGATTGGGGTGGGGGCAGGAGTGTGCATGTTTTGGATGGCATCGTGAGGTTTTTAAAAGAATCTAACAACCTGGATGGTGAATCAGGAAAGCAACAAACACACAATCATTCAAACTCTCAGTTCTCACTGGCTCTGGTCTCTCTACAGATCAGAAAGATTGTTGGGCGTGGCACACCTCTAGGGAAGGGAAGGAGGGGCACACTGCCTGTCACAAGGAGGTTAGTGCAAGGGTGCTACTCCCTGGGGACACCTGAGGTTGTGGTGACTGAGGCCTCAACAGAATCTGTGGACTCCATTGTCTGTATCTATGCTTAGGGTGAGGATAGGTCCCTGGGGGGGGCTAGAGATTTTATCGACAATTTTTATTTCCCACCCAGCTTTCACTTACTATTCTCCTGTCCCTCTCTGTAACTCTGCATGGGGCAACACAAAGAAGAGAAATTCAAACCCTATTTCCTGCCTTCACTTCCAGGTCCACCTCCAGAATCAGCTGTTGTGGCCTTCAAGTGGCTGAAGAAGAGCACTCTCCATAGGCCTGCAGCCAGGCCCACAACGCTCTCCCCTAACCCTGAGTGACTACTCTGTTCCTTGGTCCCTGCTATTGTCAGGGACGATTGCATGGGCTACGCTAGGAAAGTAGGCTGGGTGACTGCAGGCCTGGTGATTGGGGCTGGAGCCTGCTATTGCATCTATAGACTGACCCGGGGAAGAAAACAGAACAAGGAGAAAATGGCTGAGGGTGGTTCTGGGGATGTGGATGATGCTGGAGACTGTGTGGGGGCCAGGTATAATGACTGGTCTGATGATGATGATGACAGTAATGAGAGCAAGAGTATAGTATGGTACCCACCTTGGGCCAGGATTGGGACCGAAGCTGGGACCAGAGCTAGAGCCAGAGCAAGGGCCAGGGCTACCCGGGCACGCCGGGCTGTCCAGAAACGGGCTTCCCCTAATTCAGATGATACAGTGTTGTCCCCTCAAGAGCTACAAAAAGTACTTTGTTTGGTTGAGATGTCTGAAAAGCCTTATATTCTTGAAGCAGCTTTAATTGCTCTAGGTAACAATGCTGCTTATGCATTTAACAGAGATATTATTCGTGATCTGGGTGGTCTCCCAATTGTTGCAAAGATTCTCAATACTCGGGATCCCATCGTTAAGGAAAAGGCTTTAATCGTCCTAAATAACTTGAGTGTGAATGCTGAAAATCAGCGTAGGCTTAAGATATACATGAATCAAGTGTGTGATGACACAGTCACTTCTCGCTTGAACTCATCTGTGCAGCTGGCTGGACTCAGATTGCTTACGAATATGACTGTTACTAATGAGTATCAGCACATTCTTGCTAATTCCATTTCAGACTTCTTTCGCTTATTTTCAGCAGGAAATGAAGAAACTAAACTTCAGGTTTTGAAACTTCTTTTGAATTTGGCTGAAAATCCAGCCATGACTAGAGAACTGCTCAGGGCCCAAGTACCATCTTCGCTGGGTTCCCTCTTTAATAAGAAGGAGAACAAAGAGGTTATTCTTAAACTTCTGATCATTTTGGAGAACATAAATGACAATTTTAAGTGGGAAGAAAACGAACCTTCTCAGAATCAGTTTGGTGAAGGTTCACTTTTTTTCTTTTTAAAAGAATTTCAAGTGTGTGCTGATAAGGTTCTAGGAATAGAAAGTCACCATGATTTTTTGGTGAAAGTAAAAGTTGGAAAATTCATGGCCAAACTGGCTGAGCATATGTTCCCAAAGAGCCAGGAATAACTTCTTGACTTTGTAGTTTAGAAGCAACACACATTGTAAACTCTTCCTTTTTGCCACCTTGTTTATATGGCAAAGAATTCCTTTCAGCTGCCAATTTTGACTAATGAAATGAATATTGTATCATCATTGCTGATATTTAACCAAGTTGGTCTTCAGATTTAAGCTGGGTGAATGAATATCACTACTTGTTCTGAAAACATGTTTGTTGCTTTTTATCTTGCTGCCTAGATTGAAATATTTTTACTATTTCCTCTGCATAAGTGACAGTGAACCAATTCGTCATAAGTAAGCTCCCTTCTGTCCTTTGCATTGATTTCATTTGTGCATCATCAATAAAGCTGTGTGTTAATGCTGGAAAGAAAAAAAGAAGAAAGACACCATCCTTGTCCTTTGGTTTATAATTTAGTTGGAGAGATAAGAAAACATACAAACCAAAAAAAAAAAAAACCATCTGGAGCATGCATTCATTGTCAAATGTCTCAGAGCACAGAAGAGGCAAAGGCTTGTTGGTTACACAAGTCAGAGCTAAAGCTTCATGGAGGATCCAGCCATTGAAAATAAGTCCTGAGTCGGGTAGGGCAGTAAGGGCATTCCATGACACAGGAGCCTGGGGAAATGGTATAAAGAGGACATTGAGACAGGACCCTTCCTATGGCAGTCAGGAAAGCAGTCTGCTTAGATTGGAGAGTGTGTGGAGTAGGATTAAATAAATTTGGAAAGCTGGGTGAAGCCTGTTGTGAAATGCTGTTTGAATATTATCACATTGAACACCAAGCACCACTAAATATTTTTGACAAGAAAATAGTGGGAATCCATATAAATGTCCCCCTCTCTCTCCTACAGTGCAGTGTCAAGGATGGTGTGACAAAATGGACTCTTTGAAATCCTGGTGGTGGTCATTTGGTAATACATATCTTTAAGCCTTAAAATATGTAAATCTTTTGTCCTAAGGAAGTAACTGAATATTTGGCCAAAGATTGTATGTACAAGGCTGTTTATATCAGCACAGTCTAAGATAGTACAAATTGGGAACAACTTCAGTGTCTAGAACAGTGAATTGGTTAAGTAAATTTAGGAGTGTTTACACAATATTACATGAAAAATATGCTGATGCAAATCTATACTGCCAGGGAAAGATATTCATCAGGCATTAAGTGAGAAAGGTAAGTTAGATAGCAGTATTCATAGTATGATTCCATGTATGGGGGGGATATTAAATCATGCTTAAAAAGACACTAAAAACTATAAAATTATATGCACCCACATAGTAGCAGTAGGTATCTTTGGGTGAAGGATATGGGATGATCTTTACTTTTTTTTCTTTTTATTAATCTATGTGTCCTTATTTATCTAAAATGAATATCAACTTTTAGGAAATTTTTGAAAAAAGAAAAGTACTGGGAATGAAGCAGGTGATTAATTTGAGCATGTACTGAGGGGAAAAATAGGTTAAAAATGAGGAGGGTTGAAGTTTCATTTTTGAAACGATAGATGAGTGGTGAGGATGAGGCTTATTGTAAGGATTAAATGAGATGATACATGCAAAGTACTTGTAATGTTATGGCACATAGCAGTTAATTAAGAAAAGTGAATATCCTTAAGTATCTAGAATGCAGGATTAATAGTTTTTTTGGTTGACTTTGTTTTCCTGGGGCATTCTGCCATGTTTCAGTGTCATTTCATAAATAACAACAATAAAGGTTAACATTTATTAAGTGATTACTGTGTAGAGTTCTGTCATTCTTATAAGGCAACTGTAAAATAATTTCTCAAAGGAATAAGGCTTTTCCTTCTTTTCCAAAGACTCAGTGTTACCTCAGTCATGATCTCTCCAGCCTCCACAATATATTCTTGGTTGGTTTGGGATACTATCCTGCTTTACATATTAATCCAGGAAGGGGTAACATCCCCTTCATGATTATGATCTGGTTTTAGCCCCAGGTTTCCATTTATGTACTCTGATGCCTGTAGTAAGCAAAGGAAGAAGGGGCAGGCTGACTTAAAGTTGTTGGATACACATATGGGGACTCATTTGATACCAGTTTTAAGGATGGAAAGAGAGAATAAACATTTTTCATGCCATTACTATTAAGTGGGAGAAAAAGATTGTTGGGGGGGACTCTATTTAGCATAAGTGGAGTTTGAGGTGAGGTACCTGTGGGACAATTAGATGAGGATGCCCTATTGTCACTTGAATGAATTGATATAGCTTTCAGAAGAAAAGAATGGGCTGCAAATAAGCATTTGAGAGCTATCAAGAGGGTAGATGATAGCTGAGGACATGGGAGTAGATTTGATTCCCCAGAAACAAGGTGCACAGTCAGAGTGGAAGGCTAAAAGAAGGAACAGTGTAAGGGACTCTGGCAGCTAGGGAGAGAAGTACAGAATTGAGATAATGTATCCCTTTTAGATAATTTTATTACCCATATACTTACATATTCTTTACCTCCAATTGGAACATAATGCAGATAAAATTTTCAGAGCTCGATTTGAAATATTTCTTATAAAAACACTAATATATATTCACTGGAGATGCTCAAGAAAATAATCCAGTTATGTGTCTTGAACACCTAAAAAAATTCAGACCAAGCCATGTTGAACTTGAGGCACTGAATGACTTTTATATGTGGGTTGAAAAGGAGGTTTAACTGAGTAATAGAAAGTCACATAGTGACAGGCACAGGCCTGATTGGCATCCATCTGCTCTTTTTCTCCTTCCCTTATATTTTCTTATTCTTTTCCTCCCTCACATTTCTGTCTCTATTTCATCCTTTGGGGAGATAGTTGGTGGTAGTATGTCTGTGATTCTGTGTCTTTGGGGATGATTGCCTAATTTCCATGACACCGTGCTATGTGACAGTGAGCATTTTATGCAGAATAATAATTGTCAATGCTGTGATCATAACGTAACTCTGGGTGTGACTGGATGCCTAGATTCTTTGGGACATTTGTTGAACAGAACAGAGATTGAGAAGGAAATAGTTTTAGCTTGATGCTGTCTTATGTGGCCTACATGTACTTTTGATGTTCCCTGTCTAGCATTATTTATACCTAGTTATGTGATCTTTTAGGAAAGAGCAGGGTGAACATGCATGGGATATGGCCAGTTCATACCCTAATGTCCCAATTTTTTTTCACATAGGATGTTGTCTCTCTCAATCATTTTGGGAAAGACAGAGATGTGGGATTGTGACTTTGACTATCCTTATGGGGATGGGAGAAGGTACTGTTCTTTCTCCCATCATACTTTATCCCATCATAAGTATCATTATTCTTTGGGAAATCTCTTTCTGTTTTTCATTTAGGTTTTCAACAATAACCTGGATTTTGGAAAAGTGCTGGGTGAGACAGGTGTGAGACTGCCTGGTCCAGGCTGGCCACAGGACCAGCTCATATACCAGTATCCCAAAATTGTCACATAGGATGTTGTCACTCTCATTCATTTTGAAAAGGCAGTTGTAGGATTGTGGCTGTGGGTAGCTTAGGGTGACAGAGAAGAGGCAGTGTCCTTTCTTTAGAGTTGAAATTAGAAATTCAGAAGATATCTTGCTGTTTTGGTTTCTTTTCAATCTAACAGTTTTAGAGTCAGTATCAGTCCAAATGTGTTCAAAAGTAATTTTATAATGTTAATTTCAATTTGTTATAAGTTGTCATCCAAAGCATAGTATTTTGAGGCTAAGGAAACAGGTTTATTTAATTCATATTTTAATCTGTTTGTTTCAAAAGAAATTCCAAGTTTAGCTTAGGCAAATTGATGTGGTTCAGGTAAATTTTGTTTACGGCTGTCTTTGGCTTTGGTGGGTTCCCTTGAGAATGGCTTTCACAATCATGATTGTGACTGTTTTCAATGCTAGCTTTTTACATTAACTTTGCATTGTATCCCAGGCTGAAGGTGTTTGCTGTTTAAGCTGTGGCTCTTCCTTGCTCTTAACCCACAGCTGTCTCATAGCCATTGTTGGGTCCCAGGTCTTCCCTGATTGACTGAGGTGTGGTAGAATCAGGATAAGGGATATTTTCATCTCAGAGTGCTGTATCTCCATGCTTCACCCTACCCCTTGGGGCCTTGTCAGGCATTGTGTTCAGGGTTTGGGCATTGTGTGAGCTTGAGGAGGGGTGTGGGAGGAGGTAGGGTTGGGGGAGGGAAGGAATCCCTATTAGAGGTGTAACTTTATCCTGGCAGGTTCATGCATGGGTAATTCTGTTAGCCAGTGAGAGTGGGCAAACTGTCACTCTCTGGCCTTATTGACTGTTAACATTCTAAAAAGTGGAAGAGGAGGTATAATATAAGCGGCTTTGTTTGGGCATAGAGCCTTCTTCGTTTACTGAGCATTTGTACGCTTGCAGAGGACATAATATGCTATTCAATGGAGTGAGACTTCCTTTTGAAAATAAAACCCAGAATGATAATCAATGTTGCCATAAGAAATAGAATTACAAGCAGATCAGATTCTTAGTGATTGCTGCTCAGAACATTCTCTCCCTAAGATCCAACTAGATAAAAATGCAGATGATTGTAGAAGATTTTTCAACGTTCAAGGAATGTAGCCAACTTACAGAGATACTGGTGCCATCAAAGTAGGAGAGCCTGGCGCATCCATCTCTGCTATGGGGATTGACTTTGCTAAAATCCAGTACTTTTATTTAAAAGTTAGAGTATATTTCTCCCTGGACATAGTTGTTGAAAATTTTGTGTGCCTTGATGCTCCTTTGGTAGAGGGAGGGAGTTTCAGTGGGCGATAGTTTATGGCTATTAAAATATATGATCAAATTGGCTTTGTAACCTATTTTTAAGATATCCATACTCTTTTTTTTATAATGCCATTCATTCTTTTAAAATTTTCATTAAAAATAATAGTATATATTTATGGGATACATTGCGATGCTGTGATATATACTTTCAGAATGATTAAAACAGGCTAATTAACATGTACATCACCTCACATACTTATTGTTTTGTTGTGAGAACACTTAAATTCTACTTTTTAGCAATATTAAGCTATAAAACACATTATTATAAACTATAGTCACTATGTGGTACAACAGAACACTAGAACCAATTCTTTCTAACTAAATTTTTGCATCCTTTATCTATTAGCTCCCTTGTCCCTATTCACCTCCCCCTACCTTTCTCCCCTGGTAACCACAATTCTTACCCTCTACTTATATGAATTCAACATTTTCAGATCCCATATATAAGTGAGATGCTGTATTTTATTTCTGTGCCAGGCTTATTTCACTTAGCATAATGTCCTCTACATTCATGCAAGTTATCATAATTGACAGAATTTCCTTTTAAAAGGTTAAATAGCATTCCATTATATATGTGTATATATACATTTTCTTTATCCATTCATCTGTTGATGAGCACTTTTAGGATTGTCCCATATCTTGGTTGTTGTGAACAATGCTGCAGTTAACATGGGATACAGGTATCTCTTCACAATATTGATTTCATTCCCTTAGGTATACTGTATACCCAGAGATGTGATTGCTGGATTATACGGCAATTCTATTTTTTCAGTTTTAAGAAACCCATACCCTGTTTTCCAAAATGGCTGTACTAACTTACGTTCCTACAAACAGTGTAGAAGGGTTCCCTTCACATCCTTACCAACACTTTTCATCTTTTTTTATAACATTATAACAAGTATGTGGTGATATCTCATAATAGTTTTTGTTTTCATTTTCCTGATTATTAGTGATGTCGAGCATTTTTTCATATATTTGTTGGATTCTTGTGTATGTTTTCTTTTGCAAAATGTATACTCAGATCATTTGCCTATTAAAAATTTTTGTGGAGCTGGGGATTGAATTCAGGGCCTCACACATACTAGGCAAGCACTTACCACTGATCCACACCCCCAAGCTCCATATTCCAATTTTTTTCACTATTTTTTATTTTTATTTTTTGGTGGGGCTGGACTCTGAACTCAGGGCTTCACATTTGCAAAGCAGGTGTTCTACTGCTTGAGCCATACCTCTGGTTCATTTTGTTCTAATTGTTTTTGGAGATAGGGTCTTGTGAACTTTGCCAGGGCTGGCCTCAAACAGTGATCCTCCCAATTTCAACCTCCCAAGTAGCTAGGATTATAGGCATGAGTCACCAGCGCCCAGCTCCATTTGCTTATTTTTAAATCAAACTATTTAGTTCTATTTTTATTGCTAGTTGTTTGAGTTCCTTTTATATTCTAGATGTTAATCCCTTGTCTGATGAATAGTTTGCAAATACTTAATTCAATTCTGTAGATTTTCTCTTCACTCTGTTAATTATTTCCTTTGCTGTTCAGAAGCTTCTTTGATATAATCCTTTTTGTCCTAACCAAGAAATCATTTCCCAGATCACTGGAGCTTTCCTCCTATGTTATCCGAGAGATATATACCCTTATAGCTGAAGGCCATAGCATTTGCATCCCCCCTCATGTGTTGGTTAGTTTCTTCATTACCTGGTTTTGATGCTAAATAATATCCTGCTAAAAGTTATTTTTTGAAACCTGAGAAAAATTGTTGCCTCTAGTTATTCTTCCAACTTTTATTCCTGTATTCACTAAAATCTGATTTTAACTAAGTCCATGCTAATTTTGGATCCTTTTTTCAGTAAACTGTAATAAAAACACAGACCTAATAAAATAGATACATAAAAGTTTTAATTTTATTTTCTCTTATTACTTAAAATGATTTTTTGATATTAAAAACAATATAGAGAAGACTGAATAACAC